AGCCCTTTCTGTACTAAAGGTTTGTTCAAAATTATAGTCACTGCAAAATCATAGCAACTGATATTTGTCAAAAACAAGAGACGAAATAAACGGAGCTTCATATTTTCTTGAAAGTTGCATGTCGTTCCTCGATATCAAAAATTTATTCCCTTATTTTGTGTACTTATCTATCTTCAGCTGTTCGCAGTATGGAGACCTTTCCACTATCGAAAGTGGTTTACAATGAAACGATGCATCAACCTTATAATTCTGAGGTAAGCATATCGAACTTGTCCAATATGGCAATATGACAATGTAGCTATTGCAAAATGATTTGAAAAAATCAAAATAATTTATTATCTTATAACCATCCTTTTTTGCAGCTGGGTGGTGTTCATCCTCATGATCAGTTATACACTCGGCGTTTCTGCTTTGGTCAAGATTCCTGCACTGAATGAATGGTCGGGATGCAAAATGGAGAGCTGCATCAGAGCTATGTACAGGTACATCCATTATCAAGGAATGTTGGAGAAGCAAATTTCAAACCTGGTTATGTCTTTAGATCTCGAAACTTTGTCACGACAGGAGTGTACTTCTTTACCATAATAGTTTTCGCCATAACTGGTGAGAAAATTCTTCCATAAAAACGATAGATACATCTTTCCATTCGCTTTTCAGTCTTGTTGATTCGACGAGCGCAGAGATTCGTTGACTCATTCAAAAGGGATTCAAACAATTCCGAAGGAGGGCGTCGAGTACGATTTCCTCTCTGGAAACTAGCCCTGAATGTTGCTACATTTGCTTTCCTCTATTTGTTATACGTCATTTGGTAAGGACGGGTGATGAGCGCCATTCTCAAAAGCAAATTCATTTTTTCACAGGTGCATCGGTCTGTTGCTGAACACTGACCAGTGCTATTTCCAACGCAACTACCCGGAAATGATGAGATTGTTGGGTATCGTGCGATTAAGTCTTCTGCTACGTATCATAGTCGATCCGATCTTGTCATTCCTAACTGATTTCCAGGTAAGAAGTA